AGAGGGACGGGGGGACAGGGCTGAGGGGAGGCGGGGGGGCAGAGTGCCGGCATGTGAGGGGACAGGTGTGGGGCAGAGGGTTCTGGGGAGCTCGGGGTGCCAGCCCTGGGGGCTGTGGGGGCCGTGGAAGAAACCCCGGCCAACCCTGCCCAGGCTCCTGCGTAAGGCACGGCAGTGGCTCCGGGGCCTGCGGCGTTGGACACAGGCCCACTGGGCTCTGCGTCCTCGGGCCAAGATGTCACCTAGGCGCCTCGGACGGCCTGGCATCCCCGCTCCCGCACAAAGAGCGACGCGCGCAGCCCTGTGCTGCCAGCACCCACGGACGGGGCGAACGCCAGCGCTGCCCGGAGCCTTGTGCGCCGGCCAAGCGGCGATGAGCCTGGCAGCCGGGCAGGCTGCGGAGGGGGAGCGGGGGAGTTAGCCCAGGCCAGGGCCTGCCATGCCTGGGGCTGTGCCCGTGGGTAAGGCTCGGGACAGGCAGCCCCTTCCCACCCCACTGCACGGAGAGAGGGGAAGATGCGCCTGGCGCAGGCCCAGGAGAGGAGCCAGCAGCGCTGGCAGGGGGATGCCGCTTCCCCGGTGCTCGGCCTGTTGCCGTGCCCGGCTGGCCCCGGCTGCCCAGCGGAGGTGGCTGGCAGCCCGTGGGGGCTCGCGTCGGATGCCCTGGCAAGGCGCTAAGAAGGGGGATTAGTCTGGTACACGCCTCTAGGTCTGCCTCTGTCTCTGAGCCAGCGTGACGGGTGTGACTTTTGGGCTGCGTCCCCACGTGCTATACCCTGCAGATGCGTAGCCCCTGCGTGCCTCGTGGCTGTGAGCAGCCCAGGCCAGCCGGCTGGTTTTGCCAGCTGAATATTGAACACAGACCTGCCTTTGGCCCAGAGCTCCCTTGCAGCAGGGGCTGGTGCCAGGCGTGGGGAAGCACAAGGGGCCTCAGGGTCCGGCAGGGCAGGGGGCCAAGGGCACTTTGCTGCACCTCTGGACCTTGGTCCCGGTGGGAGGCCACAGCCAGCCTAGCCAGAGGGTGCTCGCGCCCCTGAGCCGGCACTGCGCAGCCACTGGCCGCCCACGGGGCTGCCTGCCCTGCGGCAGCGACCACAGCCCCGGCCAGCTCCTCCCCTGCCCGCCTGCCTGCCCTTCCTGTGGCCCTGTGATGGGAAGGCAGCAGAGCGCTTCCAGGCATGGCTCTGCCCTACCTCCCTGCCCGCCCAGTCCCTCTGTCCCGGCATCCAGCAGCCACTCGCCCAGCTCCCCGACATGCCACAAGCTCTGGTCCCCGTTGTCCAAAATCTGCGGCAGGCCCCTTCCCTGCATCCCCACTGCTGCCCTGCACAGGAGACGGAGGCTGTTCCCAGCGTCCTGCTGCGAGTCCCACGCCCTGGCCGTGCCGGGGCTTCTGTAACGGGAGCCAGGCCTGGTCCCCCGCCAGCGGCCCTTTGCTCTCTTTAATTTTATCTTCTCGGGCCTTTGACCCGCACGTGATCTTCGCAGCATGGGGCTGGGCGGGTGCGCTCAGAACGTGCTCTGCCACTGGCCGACATGGCTCCTCTGACCCAGCCAGCCCCTGCAGTCCCGCTGCCACTTCCTCCGGTGATGGTGGGAAGCGTTGGGCTGCTGCGGGTGGCGAGGGGAGCGCCCGGACACCCGGGCTGTGCCTGGCTGTGGCAGGGAGCAGTTCGGAGCTGGTGAGCAGGGCTGCAGGGTTGTCTTCCTGCCTCTGCGATTCCTGTGGCTGGGGAGAAGGGGAAGTGACTTCTGGAGGCCTGCTGCCTTGTGTGGCGAGGGTGTAGGGCAGCAGGAGGTCATGAATTCACCGGCCCTGTCGTGGTCCCTCTGAGCAAACCCACGCTGATTGCTTGCTCGCTCACATGCTCCTGGATCCTCCCCGCCCCGATGTGGCCCAGGGCCTTTCTTGGCAGAGCAGGCACTGCCACTTCATCTTGGGGCGTGCTGTTGAGGCCACCCAGCTGGGCAGGCGCCTGGGAGGGACCGTGGGCAGGTGCCTCACCAGCCTCCACCCCTCTGATGCTGGGCTGGGCACGTTTACAAGTACTGCTTAGGTGTGGGGAGCCTGGAGCTGTTGGTGTTTGCGCAGAAGCTCCTGCATGAGTGCTAAGGAGTTACCTCGACAAGCACTCGGAGCGGCTGTCCCTGCTCCGCTGCCCTGCGATCTCCTGTTTCTGCCCAGCCCCAGCACTGGGCTGGTGCACTGATGCTGCCGGACTCTGCCCCAGGTCCACCTGCAGACGCAGCAGGAGGTGAAGATGAGGATGATGGGGATGGCGATGCGTGTGATCCGCACTGACGGCTTCCTGGCTCTCTACAACGGGCTCAGTGCCTCGCTGTGCAGGCAGGTGAGTGCCACCGTGCCCTGACGGCCTCTGGTCCCCCAAGGCCAGCACGGAGCTCCTGCCGCACGGCACTGCCCACCCTGTCCGGCAGCTGGGCTGGAGCTGACAGGCTGCCCTGAGCCGCGGGGGCCGGGGAGGTGGGCGCCCAGCGGGACACAGCGGCTCGTTCTCCCTCGCCTCCAGATGACGTATTCCTTGACTCGCTTCGCCATCTACGAGAGCGTGAGGGACCGCCTGGGCCAGGGCAGCCAGGGGCCTCCCCCCTTCTACCAGAAAGTGCTGCTGGGTGCAGTGGGAGGTGAGCGAGGGAGAGGGCCCCTCAGCCCCGGACTCCCTCAGGCTGGAGGAAGCCCCTGACCTCAGCTCTTCTTTGGCTGCAGGTTTCACCGGCGGGTTCGTGGGGACTCCAGCAGACATGGTGAACGTCAGGTCAGTTCTGCCCGCATCCTGGCGCTGCTGGTGAGGGAGGCTTGTGGCTGGTGTGTGGCAGCAGTTGCGACGGTGGGGCGCTCCCCATGCTCCTGACTTTTCTCCTGACCAGGCTGCCCCGTGGTTCGCAGCCCAGTCCCGGCACACAGCTCTGTACCCCGAAGGACCAGTGTTATTTTGCCATTCAGTGTGACAGCTCTGGGCCCCAGCCCCTGCGTGGCCCTCCGGGGGGGTGTGGGGCTGGAGGCAGCTTTCTTGTCCCTTTGCAAACAGGCGACGCAGTCCGTCTGCTGGGCCGCTGCCCTGAGCAAGGGCAGGCTTGCCCCGGGTCCCCAGTGCTGGGGGGGGGTGGACAGCGGGGCACTGGCCCCCTCCTCAGCCCATGGTGCTCTGCCTTCCAGGATGCAGAACGACATGAAGCAGCCTCCTGCCCTGCGGCGCAAGTGAGTGACTGGGGGGCCGGGGCTCCCGGGGGGGCCGGAACAGTGGGGCAGGTGGTCGGGGGGTGCCAGGGCTCCC